ATTATAACCAGGACCGTATTTGGAGATACTGTGACTGATGGTGAGATTTGTGTTTGACTATTAACCTAAATCTCCTCGGAAAGAAGGTTGGGCAATCCTACTTCCATAGTGATACTGCCTCAGAAACCCAAGGAGGGGTCGCTATGAGTCGGGGCCGACTCCACGGCACATAACAATAACAACAACAACATTAACCTAAATGTCTGACCCCACCCAGTGGCACTGTTCAGCCCAGAAAACCCAACGGAGGATAGTTCCACTCTATAACACACGGGGCGCCATGAGTCAGAACCAACTCAACAGCAACTAGTTACTTTGAAAAATGGTTTTATGGTGGTGTTTAAGGGGAGTGGGTGACGAAGAGAGTTATTTGGTCTCATGGGGAAGAACCTATAATTTTATTGGGGGTGGAATAGGATCCTCATTGAAAGGGTTTCCTGGGATGTGAGTTGAAGGTGCTCTGAGTGCAAAAAACCTAGAGTTTTGATTATGTGGACTTATACTCATGCCTCAAGAGGCTCTGGTGGCACAGTGCCTAAGGCATTTGACTGCTGACCAGAAGGTTGGCGGTTCAAACCCACCAGCCGCTCTGTGGAAGAAAGATGGAGCAATCTACTTACTTCCGTAAAGATTTGCCACTTTGGAAACCCACTGGGGGTTGCTGGGAGTTGGACTCAACTTGATGGCAGTGGGTTTGGTTTTTTGGTGGTTATACTCATGTCTCAGCAGTTTTTCTTACTGACTGTGTGAAATTAGGCCCTGGAAAGGGGGCAGGGCAGTAAGAATAACTCAAGTAGGGACCTAAGATAGGACTAAGTGTGAACAAGGTAAAGTGTGGGAGTGAGGCTCAAAGCACCTCAAACCTAAACAATATGAACACAGGTAATAAGCCTGAAAGGAGCTGGGGGCATTTTACAAGCTGGGAGAAGCCTACTCAAGGTGGCCTGTGGTAAGTCCATTGAAAAGCCAGGTCATGGGCCATGATAATGTCTTTGAACTTACTCTCTAAGTGCAAAGAGAAGCCAGAATGATGTTATGTAAGCAGAATCTAGACAGAACCCAATTTCATCATTATTATTAGTTGTCATTTTAATCACGAGGGGTCACTATAAGTCGGATCCAACTCAGTGATGGCAGTGAGTTTAGTTTTTATTTTTGGAATCACTTGTAAGTATACAATTCCATGGCATTAACTGTATTCACAGCAAAATGTTACCCTATATCACCATTATTTATCTCTGTAATATTTTCATCACTCCAAACAAAAACTGCACCTGATGTTATGGATTGAGTTGTGTCCCCCAAAATTATGTGCTGTAAATGCTAAATCTATACCTGTGGATAAGGAGCTGTGGTGGCACGGTGGTTAAAGTGCTCAGCTGCTAACTGAAAGATTGGTGGTTCAAACCCAGCCAGTAGCTCCACGGCAGAGAGACGTGGCCATCCCCTCTCGTCAAGATGCCAGCCTTGGGAACCCTCTGGGGAAGTTCTGCTCTTTCCTATAGGATCACTGTGACTCAGAATCAACCAGCCCTTGTGGGGATGGGGTTCTCTTTGTTATGTTAACAAGGCCATAGCAAGGTAGGGTGTATCTTAAAGCAATCAGTTCTGAGATATAGGAGCTGATTAGAGACAGAGCAAAGAGGGGCAGATGGGGGAAAGGTGATGGCACATGGAGATCTGCAGGGAACCGAAAGAAGAGGAAGAAGAAAGAAGACAGGCTGAAAGGCACGAGACGACCTTTTCCTAGACCCTGTGCCTGAATTCAGACTTCTAGCCTCCTTTGGGAGCTCTGGTAGCATAGTGGCTAAGGCACTTGACTGCTAACCAGAAGGCTAGTGGTTCAAACCCACCAGCCACTCCCCGGAAGGAAGATGGGGCAATCTACTTCCGTAGTGATACTGCCTTGGAAACCCAAGAAGGGGTCACTGTGAGTCAAAATCAACTCCAAGGCAGTGAGTTTGGTGGGTTTTTTTTTTGTTGTTGTTGTTTTTTTTTTTTTTTTTGGTACACTGCTATAGTTTCATTAACAAAACAAAGAAAACCCTATTTCCACACGGGATCACATACACAGGCGTAGGAGTCAGGATTCCAATATGTATTTGGTGGGCAGACACAATTCAGTCCATAACACACTCATTACCAGACTTAAAGGGGCCCTGGTGGGGTGATGGTTAAGCTCTCAGCTGTTGACTGAAAGGTTGGTGGTTCGAACTCATCCACAGGCAAAAGGCTGGTAATTTGTTTCTGTGGAGATTGTGGCTGTTGTCCAAACAAAAGACAGGCACGTGAGCTGAACATGTACCTGAGGTAGATACACTCCTTGGAGAGAACAATCATGGGAGAAAGAAGGGCTGTGTCTGCACAGGGAGACAGCTCAGGGGGCAGGGGTGCATGGAGGGATGGACACCGGGAAGAGGTGACTGTCGGGAGGAAGTGGGAGGGGAGCTATTGCATTGGGATAAATTGTGATCAATGTCATGAGACAAAGTGTGCTGTATGGAAAGTGAATTTGCTCTGTACATTTTCACCCAAATCAAAAAAAAAAAAAAAAAAGATTGTGGCTGTTGTGTTGTTAGGGGCCGTTGAGTCAGCTCTGACTCATGGAAACCCCATTTCCAACAGAACGAGACACAGCTAGTGATGTTTGATCCTCACATCGTTGCCATGTTTGAGCCCATTTCGCAGCTGCTGTGTCAGTCCATCTCATTGGGGGTCTTCCTCCTTTCACTGACACTAAGCATGATTGGGATTGGCCCCAGTCAGGGATGGTCCCTTCTGATGACATGACCAACATACATGAGATGAAGTCTGGCCGTTCTCACTTCTAAGGAGCATTCTGGCTGTACCTCTTCCAAGACAGAATTGTTTGTTCTTCTGGAAGTCCGTGGTAGAGTCAACATTCTTCGCTAACACCGTGATTTGAATGTATCAATTATTCTTTCCTGTATTCACTGTCCAGCTCTCACATGCATGAGACCATTGAAGATACCATGGCTTGGGTCAGGCGCACCTTAGTCCTCAAAGCGACATCTTAGCTTTTTAACACTTTAAAGAGATCTTTTGCATCAGATTTGCCCAATGCAATATGTCATCTGATTGTTTGAATACTGCTTCCATGAGTATTGATCTAGATCTGAGTAAAATGGAATCCTTGCCAATTTCATTTTTTTTTTTTCTCCTTTGATCATGATGTTGTGTATTGGTCCAATTGTGAAGGTTTTTGTTTTCTTTATGAGGAAAGAGAGCTGGCCCGAGTCGCATTACAGAACCCAAGAAGATTTCTTGGATGGCCAAGGCATGGGTGATGTAACAAGCCACTTCTCCCAGCTGCTTCAGGGTGGTGTGCTGAACACGAACAAGATAGTAGTGACTTCTCAGGACGCACTTCTCTGCTTACTAATTTCTGTCCTGTTTGTCCAATAAAGATTCTCCAGGCAACTGCTGTCCTTCTTTTTGACTGAATTGAAGGGTCCAACCAGTAGATAGATAGATGATAGATAGCCAGACAGACATGATGTCTGGATGGATGGAAGAGTGGATAAATAGACTTGATCAATGGATGGATGGATGGATGGATGGATAGCTAGACATAATGGATGGATGAGATGGATAGGTGGGTGGATGGATAGATTTGATCGATGAATGGATGGACAGATGGATGGATGGATGGATGGATAGATAAATAGATAGGTAGGTAGGTAGGTGGGTAGGTAGGTAGGTAGGTAGATACCAAACCAAAAACCAAACTCACTGCCACTGAGTCAATTCTGACTCATAGCAACCCCTGTTGGGTTTCTGAGACAGTAAATCTTTATGGAAGTAGATTGCCTGATCATCCTTCCACAGAGCAGCTGGTGGGCTTGAACCACTGACCTTTTGGCTAACAGCCAAATGCCTTATCCACTATGCCACCAAAGCTCCTTAGAT